TTTTTTTTTTGTTTTAGTATTGTGAAGTTGACCAATTGTTAGTATAAGCAATTAATGATTATAGATGATCTGCACCGTATTCTTCTTTTTTTTCTTCTTCTTTTCAGAGCTCACAAATGATTATAAAATATTTGTATCTCTTCGCACACTGCAACACCTTCATATAATTCACAATTGCAACCTTCAGTTACTCTATCTAACGTCTCGAAGTGCAAACCATTATAATAATAGAAAAAATTACTATTTATAATATACTTATGTTTTTAATTTCCATGGGAAAATGCACGATTCAAAATTTCGCACGTATGTCATGCAACCACAAGTGATAAACCAATAAGATTGAACATAATTCTTCTCCTGTGTGAATGTATCAGGTATATCAGTTATATTCAACTTGCCAGTCTTTACCATAAAAGGTTACAGAAACCTTTAGAACGTAATACTTTACATAAATCTCGTTACACGATAATTGTATTCATATAAAAAAAATTTCGATTTCTTTTATTAGTATTAGTGTTGATTGGTGTCGAGTACACACTAGTACTAGTTGATTAAAAAATAAACAAAAACCTTATAATCACAATAGTAACAAAAAAAATTTCGAGATGGCACAAAAAATAATTTTTTTGTATAGATAAAGAAATAATTTATATTTATTTGTTTATTTTTAAAAAAATATAAATTTATCTACACGGATTAATATTTTTAGTTACACAATTTTTCTGCATTACCATTCACTTTTTGTGCATTAATTGATATAATGATAGTTGAAAAAAAAAATTCTCAAGTTCCAATCTTTAATTATTATCAACAACACTGACAATATACCTTTTTTACTTCACTATCATCTTTAACAACATTTCACAAGATCACCTTGTTTAAAATACCTCCAAGCAATATTCCTTTTTTTACTTCCTCTCATAAATCATTTATTTTTCATGAGTTTTAGAATTAACAGTATTTAAATCATTCAAAGATAATGGATTTGATGATGATGTTTTTAGGCTTAGAGCAGGACTACTACATACAAAATATAATAATCATGTCATAATTGTCATAATATATTAATTTCTGATTGCATAATGTGAAAAATGAAAAACAATTTTTATTTATTTATTATGTTGATAATTAATTAATTGAAAACAAATTTTCTAATCATTTTTTTACATATTTTTACAAGGTATTTTTTTATTACATCACTTCTTTCAAGCCATTTTGGTTCAAGAGATTTAACCTTTGCACTCATCAATAACAACATGTCTATCCACCTTTATGCAATCCAAATCAAAAGATAACATATCCAGAGAATCCCACAAAGGTGCCCCATGTGAAATTCTGACACTCTAATATGCGTTAATTATTTATTCAAATCTTAAAATTATGAAAAAAAGTAAACAGGTTTTCACAGATCACAAACTTATAAAAAATCACCTATATAAATGAACTACGCTCCCTCCTCCCTCTCTTATCTTCTACAAAACTTTTAAATATTTTTAATTAATAAAGATAAATTTCTCTTCTCTGCAAGTTTATAAGAAATTAAACCCTTGCCGTACGATTCTAATATGTCAGAATAAGAAAAAACTGCAAATTTGATTAAAATATGGAAACGATTTCAAAAAAATTACGAATTTTGGCAAGCAATAATGACACGATGAGCATTAAATCCTTTATTTGTGTCTCATATCTAAATCATTTCTACTTACTTGTTGAGGCAATTCTCTTTTCGGTGATATTATTAAAGCTCTAATCCAAGTTTTCCATGTAACATTGGCAATATGTATGCCGGTGTTTTGCCTGATCATGTAGGTGCCATTCCTATACAAAATTAATATTATCGAAAAAAAAAAAATTGAAAGTTTGCCGTGTCACATTCTCTTTTCGATATTTTGAAAATCATTAGTCGGTTTTTTGTAAATCCTCGATTAATTAATTCATCACATGTTGAAGCTCAAAATCTCTAAAAAAATTTTATTATTAGAATACTTTTGGGGAGAAATGGTTTTTTTTCCATCATCTGATTTTTTTACCCAATTATTCAGCCAAACAAGCTTTAAAATATGAAGACCTTGTTTTAAAAATATTGGAATGTGTTTTATAAGCTTTAACTTCCTGGTTCATTCCAATTTTAATTCTACGTCATAATACTCTGATTTATTTATTCAATAATAATAACCTTTAATATATTTCAGTTAAGATTATTATCACGCAATAAAATTCCTTGTAAATTATTTTATAATTACGCGTTTAAGAATTTGATAGTTATATATATATAATCAATTATTTATATTTGTTTTGAAGTCATAACAAAAATTATTAATAAATCACTTTCTTAAACCTTCAAATTAAATATTTTTAAATTAAGAATGGAACATGCACTTTTAAAAAAACCAAAGAGAATTTCACAAAAATCGTATAAAAGCCACGAAATAAAAATAGTTGGTTCTGATGGTAAAAAAAAATAAACTAGTTATATTAAAAAAATTTTTTAAAATTAAATTAATGAATTTTAAAAAAAAAAATTTTTTCTTACAGCATCAATAAACCAAACCAAACCCTTATGTGACTATGGAAATATAAATAATCATGGAAAAAATTATTCAATGACTAATAATACTATTTTAACTGATCAAGTCGCGAATGCCAATCCAGATGATGATAGTTCAGATGATGATGATTTTATAAAACTTTATGATCTTTTAAGACCAGAAGATTATCTTCCACTTAAATTGGTCACTTTGACAAATGATGATGATGATGATGATGATTTTGATTATACAGAACTGTATAAACATTTAACAACCGAGGATTTTGTGGTGCCAAAATTGAATCCTTTGGTTGATGGCGGTACCCAAGTCAAAAATGATGATTATGATGATAATAGTAATAGGAAAAGACCTGGTCTGATCACCATTGATTATCTTGAAAAGAAACTTGTAAAATTGAACTCCATCATTACGCAAGAAGATCTTTTGAAGTTTGCACATTTTACAAATACCACCAGTAAATATGACAATGCAGCTATTAGTTCTAATAGATATTATAATAATCACAATAAATCAATTATTGGAATTAAGCGTAAAAATACTAATCTTAAAACTAGTGAAACGTCTGATCATAAAAAAAATAAAATATCATATACTGTCAGCAATCATCATCAAAAAAAATCCTTATCAACTAATTCTGCTGAAGTAAATAAGAAAAGACAAGATTTTCTTAAGAGAAGAGTTGCTTCAAGAAATGGTTAGTAAAAAAACAAATTAATTGATATAGTGTATAGTATATATAATATATTAAATTTTCATCATTAAATTATTAATATGAATATCATTTTAGTAAGTCAACCTGTATTGCTAAGAAATAAAGAATCATCAACTGCTACTAGGCAACAACAATCAAAGAAAAGGCCATTATAAATAAATAAGACATCATTAAGAAGGTTTTAATTTTAACAAAAGAAATTTTTTTTTTTCAATAAAGAAACTTTTATAATTAATTGAATAATTACAGCGTATGTAACCCAAAATTGAAATAACAACACATCGTCCATATTCATATTGTGTTTAATAAATAATAAATGAATTGATATATAACATCTTGGATGATTGATGATTTAAATTTTTATTTATTTGTAATTCATCAGATACAATTTTAATATAATGGATCCGTCCGTATATTCGTTATAAGAACATAATCAATTTTTTTCCATGCTCAATGCAATTTATTCCAAATTGATATTATTGATAATAAATTTTTTTTCAATCTTGAAAATTTGCATAATCATTATTGGATAACAATGTGTTTCTGATTGATGGATACAAACAAAATTACTTGTAATCTTTTTTCATACAATTTATTAATCTACGCATCACCTACCTATTATCTTGTCATAATTATATTTTTAATCAAGTGGCTTCATAAAGTTTAAAGATGACGGGGTCCTAAAATTATCAACCTTTTGAAACTTTTTAACGGGAGCATAGTCATCATCATCACTATCAAGAATAATAATTTCTTTTTCTTTTTGTTGTTGATTCATTCGTTCCTGCCGTGATTGTTGTATAAATAAATCTTTTATAATTTTTGTTTTACCTTTTTTCTGATTTTCTTGTTCTATTTTTTTCTGACTTAGCTTACGTTTATTGTTATTATTAACACTGATATTATTATTATTGAATTGTGTCAAAAAATTTTCTGCTCGATCCATTGAATTTTTGATAGTAGATGATTCCTATGAATAAATCAAATGTAATGGATTATACTTTATAAGTTCATATATGCATGATTATATGTATGTATAAATTATAAATAGTTTTTAATTTTCTTCTTACTTTCACAGTTGATTCATCAAGTCCAAAAAGCATTCGTCCTTTTTCCTTCATATTATTGCATGCTAAATAACTTGATAAATATTCTACATCATATTTGCTAAATCAAAAAATTGCAATTATTAATTTAAATTTTCACTCTCCAAAGAATATGTATATACTTACGGGCTTCCAATATCAATTTCATCATATATAACAGACCATTGTGATTCTCCAATTACTTTATTTCGTTCCTTTTTCACCTTTTCTAGTAATTCTCTTTCTTCTTGTCTTTGCATAAACTGTCAACAATTAAATTTAATAAAAGTTTGTTATAAATAATCGTTTGGTGCAATTATTTTTTTTAATACAATATTTTTTTCTTATTTCATAATAAAAAATTTACCTTGAGTTCTAAAAATTTTTCAGACAATTTTAACTTCTTATCATTATAAACCATTATAATTAATATTTTTTTTTTAAAGAAATTGAAATTACAAAATGTGGACCCCTGAATACGCCACCAAGGCAGGGACGATGATTTTCTGCGGTGATAAAATGCTAATTCCGTGGCTATATTCTGCGTAATTTCTGTTATAATATCTATGCATTCTGCATTATAATTATAATTTTATTATTTGGGGTCTGTACTAGGAAAATCAAGCTTCCAGCTATTTTTTTTTTTTTGTCTTTTTACTCAATAATAATCTCTAATAAAGGATTTACAATTGGTGAAAAAATTGGACCCTATTTGCATAGTAGAAAAATGAGATACAAGGCTTGTAATATTTTCTTTGTATATTAAAAACATATGTGTAACCAAATTTATAAGGGTTGTTACCAAAAATAGATTTTTTGTCTGGAAGGTCGATTTTCCTAGTACAGACCCATATGTGAATCACATTAATTAATTAAGTTTTTTTTACACATGCATTTAGAAAATTCACTACGTTGTCAAGGAAGAAAACTCGAAATTCTGTCGTCAAGAAATTAAGGAAGGCTGATATTGAACACGAACATTCAGGGTGAGCATTGTTTCTCACTGAGTTATTTTGTTGAGTTGTTGTGTATCTGAAGTTACGCTGCCACTAGGTGTAAAATGTCTGGGAATTGAAAGCTCTTCGTGGCCACGGTTTTTTAGCTGTGAATGTTCTTCCCAGTTTCCGATGGTCCCGAGCTAGCTTAGGATACTGGGATTTATGGTGAATAGGATACACGAACCATGAATGAAAAGCTCTTCGTGGCCACATTATTTATTTAATGTGAACGTTCTTCTTGGTTCTTTGATAATGATGACGCATTATACTCATTCTTGTTTATTGTTTATTTTTTATCAAATTATCCAGGGACCGGTCGACAAAGGGATCGATATTCAATATAAGGATTGGATCCGAAGATATATAGGTATTATATCAATTATATATGTGAATCACATTAATTAATTAATTAATTAATTAAGTTAAACTTTTTTTTTTACAACGCATTTAAGCATTTAAAAAATCCACTACGTTGTCGGGTCTTGCTAAGGAAGAAAACTCGAAATTGCTGTCGTCAAGAAATTAAGGGATGCTGATATTGAACACGAACATACAGGGTGAGCATTGTTTCTCACTGAGTTATTTTGTTGAGTTGTTGTGTATCTGAAGTTACGCTGCCACTAGGTGTAAAATGTCTGGGAATTGAAAGCTCTTCGTGGCCACGGTTTTTTAGCTGTGAATGTTCTTCCCAGTTTCCGATGGTCCCGAGCTAGCTTAGGATACTGGGATTTATGGTGAATAGGATACACGAACCATGAATGAAAAGCTCTTCGTGGCCACATTATTTATTTAATGTGAACGTTCTTCTTGGTTCTTTGATAATGATGACGCATTATACTCATTCTAGTTTATCGTTAATCAATTATCCAGAGAACCGGTCGATAAAGGGATCGATATTTAATGTAAGAATTGGATCTGAAGATATATAGGTATTATATCAATTATATATGTGAATCACATTAATTAATTAATTAATTAAGTTAACCTTTTTTTTTTTACACATGCATTTAAGCATTTAAAAAATCCACTACGTTGTCGGGTCTTGCTAAGGAAGAAAAAAAACTCGAACTTGCAGTTGTTAGGAGGTTTAGAAAAGCTAAGGTTGAACACGAACATACAGGGCGAGTGTTTCTCACTGAGTTATTTTGTTGAGTTATTGTGTATCCGAAGTTACGCTGTCATTAGGTGTAAGATGTCTGGGAATTGAAAGCTCTTCGTGGCCACATTATTTAATGTGAACGTTCTTGATAATGATGACGCATTATACTCATTCTTGTTTATTGTTTATTGTTTATCAATTATCCAGAGAACCGGTCGACAAAGGGAGGAGTCATTTGCAAGATCTCATTTGTGATTCAATGTGAGAATTGGATCGGAAGAGATATAGGTATTATATCAATTATATATGTGAATTACATTAATTACCTTTTTTTTTTTTACAAATACATTTAAGAAATTCACTACGTTGTCAGATCTTTGATAAGGAAAAAAACTCGAACTTTCAGTTGTTAGGAGGTTGAAAGAAGCTAAGGTTGAACGCGAACATACAGGGTGTGTGTTTCTCACCGAGTTATTTTGTCGAGTTGTTGCGTATCAGAAGTTACGCTGCCATTAGGTGTAATATGTCTGGGAATTGAAAGCTCTTCGTGGCCACGGTTTGGTTCTTCTCAGTTTCCGATGTTCCTGAGTTATGCCTGGGCACTTGGAATTTATGGCGAATAGGATACACGAAAAGCTTCTTCGTGGCCACATTATTTAATGTGAACGTTCTTCTTGATAATGATTGTTTATTGTTTATCAATTACCCAGAGAACCGGGAGACAAGGGAATCGATATTAAATGAGTTGTTTTCGGTTTCCGGTTCGTGATTCAATGCATAGATTTATTAGATGTAGTCGTTGGTCGACTTAATAGATTTAAAAATTTCTTGTATATATTTTTTTTTATTTTCATTTTTTTTAACATATATATATTTCATCGTAAGTCTTATTAGTACCAATACTGAAAAGATTCTAGTAATAGTATGTTTTTGATCCCGTGTATAATGTACATAATGTGTAAAATACTTATTATAAAATAATATATAAAATGTATAAATTGTCTTTAACACTTATTTTGATCAAACCCGCCTATATAATTATTGAATAATTGATAAACATTCGTTTTGCAAGCTTCATAGATCTTGTCTAACACTTACTTCGATCAAACCCGCCTATATAATTATTATGTGTTATAAGTGTTAAAAGAAACTTCTGGTGTCCAAGTGAATGTTATACGCACTAATTAAAAAAAAAGAGAAAGGATTTGCACACTGACTGCTAACACTATATAGGCAAAATTAATTTTCTCATGACATCATTTTGAAATTTATTAGACTCTTAAAATTTATTAACCTATTCTTAAAAGGGTAGTATAAAAATATAATTCCCATTATAATTTAAAAAAAAATTTTTTTTTCAAAATAATTTTATAAAAATCTTTTTTAAAAAAATTTACTATTTTGCCAGCTGTTGCAGTTGTAAACAAATTAAGGGATGCAGGGATTGAGCATGAACATAATGGGCGAGTGTTTTTTACTGAGTTATTTGTCGAGTTCTTTGATGATGATGATGATGCATTATACTCATTATTGTTTATTGTTTATCAATTATACAGAGGGCCGGGAGATAACAGAATTGGTATTAAAGGAGTTGTCTGCGACATCTCATTTGTTGTACAATGCAAAAATTGGTTTTGAAGAGATATAGGTATTATATTAATTATATGTGAATCACATTAATTAAGATAACTTTTAATTAATTAATATCAAACATTTGCAGCTAGAGATGGGCAGATCAGTACTATACGTATAGTGCGTATAGTTCTAGAAAAATATAGTAGTAAATGTAAATCAATT